TCCAATAAACTACCTTTTTAAGGCTCTTAAATATTCAAGTGCTGCCATTTTGGCAAAAGCAGTTGGTCTGTCTGTGGAGGGGGTTCACTCTGTGGTAAAATAACTGTCAATAAAAACGAATGTGCAGATGATTGACATTTTAATCATCTAGTTGGTCGCAGTAATGTGCCTGAAAGTCAACCATTTTTTAATGAGAAGAAGACTAAAACAACCAACTGAATGTTATACTGGGGATGCATTAAAACAACGACTGTCCTAAGGTCCTTCCTAATCCCTAACCCCTCAATCCCAAATAGAGAGGGGACTATATAGTGGACTTAATTGTGAACTTGGTTAACTGACCATTCAGAGATATTACCGCTACTTTTCGCTCCCCGTTCGTCATGTGACTCCACCTCCCCGCATGGTGCCTGTTCTATCTTTGTTCTGTCTTGTCACCCCCAAAACAAATCTTGTATCCCCTAATTAGGGCGACGGTGGCGTTGGGTGTAGGAGTTTGCCCTGAAAATGAAGGATTGACGGTTCAAGCCCCGGCTCTGACTTTTAGTGTCGTTGTGTCCTTGGGCAAGACACTTCACCTGCATTGTCTACTGATGGTGGTCAGAGGGCCCTGTGGCGCCAGTGTACCCTTGGGGTTGCGGACCCCCTGTTGAAGAAGTCTGTTCTAAAGCAACATCTCAAACGCTGCTTCCTTGTTGGGCATCATGTAGAACTGCTGCAGCAGAAGGAACCTCAGATGTAGTTTCAAGGTAGCAGACATGAAGCTCCCTCTGTTTTTATTCCCAAAGGAATGAAAACAGTTCTTGCATATTAACTGATTCAGTAAAATACGGAAGCGATTGTCTCTCAGTCAGTGAAACTGACTTTTTATTCATTTATTTCCTGTTTCACCCTCTGAGAATAAAATCCAGGAAGGCTAAATGCGTCTGTAGAGTTTCTTTCTGAACGACTGGTAACCAATCCCAACATGACGGCTAATAAGTCCACGTTAGGCTGATTTGCCCCATTTTTATTCCACACCTTTACATTGTGACGGATCACAGCACAGTGATGGTCACCAAAGGGCTTTGTTGCTCTAAGGAGATGATATCTGAAGAAGCTTTTTTTTATTTTTGCTAGAATACTGTTCTTGGATTTAAAAATTGTGGAAAAAATGTGCTGAGATATCAGTCCGATCAGCCCCATCTGGATAATCGTTAAACCAAGCCGTCCATCATCTCTCTGAAGAATTAGTTATAAACTCTACTTAATGACCAAAAGTCACAAATTGAAAACAAAATGAATATAAATGTAATCAATTATCTATTAGGTTTTTTTTGTTTGTTTTTTTACAGTGTCCTGTCTGGCAATGTGGCAATAAGAATAATTGTCTTGATGCCAAAAAGAGCCCAACAGATTTTACTTTCACAAGTGGAGCAGTACGGCAATTGCCATATTGCTCCAATTGTTTCATGCATATAAATTGCTTTATTATAATTATGCAGGGAGTTTTAAGGATTATATGGACACTGAAATGTAAATAGAACAGAAGAGGAAAAACAGAAGAAGAAAAAAAAGGAGAAGAGATGAAAGAAAGAGGAGATGGAAAGGAGACAGGGCTCGATGTTAACCATCGCCCGATAGCCCCCGGGCAAGTAGTTTTTATTGTTGGGAGAGTAAAAATTTCATTGCATTTGCCCGCCTGCCAAGTGCAATGATCACAAAAAAAAAAATTATTTATCACTCAAAATTACTTTAAAATCACCGACATTCAATGAAAACGACCCAGAAGCGTTTCTGGCACCATTTTTGTTGTTTTGTACACATTCTCGCGTGATTTGAAAAAGCTGGGTGATTTTCCGCCAGATGGCGTGATCATTCGTGATTGTGTCGTTGCGATAGAAAAGGCTTCCTATTGTGGTAGAATAGAACAGCAGATAAACTTTTCTAAAAATGCTGTCATGTGCTCAGGGTTTAAATGAACTATTGGCTCTAATGTGGTCTGCCGGCTTCCGTAGCGTCGTGATCGCGCAGGTGCGCGCTTTTAGGAAATCCTATACACTACTGTTTATGCTCTAAAAACATTCTAAATGACTTCGTTTCGAGTAAATTCTGGATGCTACCCACTCAGGACACTTGGAATACATTGGACGAGCAGTATGGAGGAATATTGACACGTTTTTTGTGGACTTTTATGGACCTTTCTGTCTCGGTCACCATAGACCTCCATTATTTGAATGTCAGCAGACAGCAAGAAGCCTCCCAGATCTCCAGATGCATTTGAGATATCAAAAAAGTACTCCAGAGTGTTGTTCAGCATGGGGGTGAGTAGAAAATGAAGGCTAATCATGTTTTGGGTGTACTATTCCTTTAAGTTGAATTGGTCTGATGTCATTGGTCCTACTCATTATGCTTGCTTCTATTTTTTTTTATGCTTGACGTGAGCATCGGGGCACATTTCTTTTAACCTCTTACACCCTAAGGGGGTATAAATAAATTTCTGCCTGACAAAAACACACAAAAGTAAATCACTTATAGCCTCAAAGCTATTAGATTTAAGAAGAAACTTTTGGTACCTCTGTAAAGGTAAGATGTCATAGAATGGTTTTCTGGTGTCAGCACCATTGTAGCTTTGACCCTGCCTGAAATATTAGGGACAAAATACAAAATATTTTGCATTTTTTGAACCTCGCCAAAATTTTCTTTGAAATAAACATTGCAAAACACTACCAACATATTATTTATAGCCCAAAAAAGTAGTACAGACTTTCAAATCTAAATGTTGTGTAAAAATATACAAAATGTGGACTCAATCAGATGAATCATATTTATTTTAGAATGGTATTAGTGAGAAATTTCTTAGGCGGAGAGGCCATTTTGGCACATTTATCCATAAATGTCACCAAACTGTGCCAAATATGTTTTTCACATCAATACTGGGGGTTTGTTAAAATTACGAGGTCACGTAGCAGCTGGACCCGCCGGTGGGTCCGTAGGGTTCAAGGGGTTAAAGAGAAAACAGCATTTTATTGTTACATTTATACACATTTTATAATCACTACACACACAAGATGCTTTTAACAATGTTTGAAGCATCAGTGGCCCAGAATAATGTATAATTGGGACAACTTAACACTTTGAAAAGAGTTACATTTGAACTTACCAGTGACAAAGACAGAAGGTAAATACGTGTCTTTTTAACCAAATATAGTCTTAATATGTCTGTTGTATGTGTATTTATCCGGTGTTTTCTTATTTTTTATCTGATATGCTGATATTCTCTGTATTGTAAAACAAAGCAAAATAACATATTAAAGGGACTGCAAATAGATTTACTGTATTAACATAGGCGCGGGAACTATAAGAGGAACTGACACTGAGCATTTAAAATATTGACTTCAATATACAAGTTGTGAGAAAAGACACGACTGCTGCTACAACACTGTATTGTAAACTATAAACATGTTTATTGGTAGGGACAAGTAGGTCGGGCCAAGATTTTGGTAGGGACATGTCCCTATAACATGACTCCGCCAGATGGATTTGCTCCGCATATCCATCTGGAAACCTTCCATTGAAGTAATTAGCTAATTGGCCTATGTTGGTGATAGACGCGCCAAATAAACCAATCAGATCAACGAAGCATATGACGTACTAACAGAGCGATGACGAAGAGGAGCAAATTGATAGATCAAACTCTTGTCGAAACCAGTCGGGAGAAGAGCAAAAACATCTTTCCCTCTGAGAAAAGCCTCGAGAGCAGTGTTTTGCTCTTCTTTCAGTGAAGAAATACTCTGTAATTCTGATAAAACTTGCTCGATAGCCACGCTAACGCTAGTTTCATCGGCTGAAGCCGCCATGTTCTTTAGACTGAACTGTCGCGCTTCTCGTTGCGTCACACCTCAACCCGCCTCAAAGCCAACGCTGATTGGACGTTCGTTTGGTGAACGGCTCCAGATTTTCTTTAACGGAGAGTCTCCAGACTGATTTGTGAGTGAAACCTTGAAAGCTCGCGAGTTTAGGATGGTCTAACGAGGCTAATGTCCCTATGGTCCCTATGCAAACCTGCGCCCATGGTCACTTCCATCCTGAAACTAGTGGTGTATGGAAGAAAAACTATCTCACTGGAATCTGCTTTTTTTTGAACACCGAATTTTAAACACAGGATTTTTTTACACATTGAATTCCGTACACTGAACTTGTAAAAATGTACCTGCAAAAAATTCAGCTGCAAAAAATTTTCCAGCAAAAAATTCAGCTGCAACAATTTAACTGCAAATGTGTTGACCTGTTGTTGAACTTAAGCCAACTTTATCGACACTCGATGCAGTCTAGCAGCTTCTAGCCAATGAAATGAGCTCATTTGGTCATGTGACACACCAGTTGGGCATAGCTTTCTTCCCGGCTGAATGAAGCTGATGAGTTTTTCTTGTTAAATAGATACAAAACGTCAGGTAGCCACTAATAGACAGCCATTAGTTTTACATCTAATCGGACTGGGTGAAATAACTGAGCCGACCACAGCTAGTGCAGCACCCCTGTCTGTCAAGGCTCTTGGTTTGATCCGGAAGAAGCGGCTTGTGGCAAACTTTCTTTTTTTTTCTGACCAAATGAGCTCATATCATTAGCTAGAAGCTGCCCGACTGCATAGAATGTAGATTGCTTTAGCTTGAGTTCACCAAAAGGTCAACGCATTTCCAGTTAAGTTTTTTCCAGCTGAATTTTTACCTGATAAAAATTCCGTGTTTAAAATTTGGTGCTAAAAAACTCTGTGTTTAAAATTCGGTGTACAAAAAAAGCCAGATTTCAATGAGACTTAAGGAAAGGAAATGAAATCCTTAGTGTTTACACTAGAGATGCATCATATAGATGGGCTTCAATGGGGGCTAAACAGAAGCAATATGTTGAGTCAGGAGTTCAAAGCCATTCATCTTTTTAAATATTTTTTTTAAGTAAAATAAATATACACATAAAACTGTGGTCTAATGATCTCTTTCTGTTTTTTGTTTTGTTTTTTCTAGTGAAAAAAGCCAAGCTTCAAGGTCCACCAGGTAAGGAAGTCTCTCATTTTGTTACTTCAATAAAACATATAGCTCACCCTTCCTCCATCCTCTAAGGCTGCGTTCACACTGCAGGCCTTCAGATTATTTTTCTTCTTTGTCTATAAAAGTGAAATAGTCTAAGCTTCACTTTGGAAAATGATGGAGGCTCTTTTTCATGGGAAAGTCTGCTTATGCGTAACCGGAATCAACAGAGTAACTTAAAGTCGTAGGGAAGCGGCTGTTCCAACGGTTGCATTTCCGAATTCTCCCGAGTGGGGCACGACTTTAAACGAGTGAATAAAGTGAATGTGATTGGTCGATTATCAAGGGGGCGGGATTGTTGTGGCGGAAGGTTCGCAAACATGTTTGATTGTCGCCGGTTTGTCGGAAGCATCTTGCTAACCAGTTAGCAATCTAGCGACACTGTCAAGGAACGCTATGGACAGGAGAAACATCCAAGAGGAGGAGAGTTTTGTGTCAGAGGTTGTGGATGAGTCTCCTCCATCATACGTTTTTTTATTTAGAGGAGGAAAGCGGGGACGAAGTTGTTGTGGAAGAGGACGCCAGGGCGGCATAAGCTTGGTTTTGTGTAGAAAGCTTACAGCCGTACATGTTTGAGCCCTTGCCTCGCAACGCTGCCAGTTCTGTTAGCGCTACGCCTGCTGAAGACACAGACGTCCATCCCCGTGAACACTGGGATGCAACTCAATTGTAAAGGAAAGGATTCTGATTTCTTATTTCAACCGTTGCGTATATTAGCTGCGACATATGAATCAAGATGCTATGACCGAAAAAATATGATTGACAGATGACCGTTGGAATATGATTGGCTGAATTTAGGTGTACAAGCTGACGTATAAGTAACTGGCTAACGGAAAAAAAACACAGATTTTAAGACAGGATTTTTTTTTTTTTTAAGAGAGAAATTTTCAACATTTTTGGGCAATATTATCTGATAAAGAGTACATTGATATACATGTTTAAACCAGAATGATTTGACATTTAAATCTTTAATAGTAATGCTAACAGAGGTTTAGACTCGGACACTCCTGAGTTGAAGGCTCCCAATTAGTGCTCATTACCCTAAAGTAGGTGTTGATGGAGTTTCCTCATTTAGGTTAATCAGTTACATTCTGGCAAGTCACTGAAAGCAGGGTTGATTGGGGATTACATAATCCTGTGTTGCATCCTTCAGCTGCAGCCAGGTAAGCTTAGGTCGGCTGCTACGCGCTCTAAATCCGCCGCTCTCCACCTAAGCAAAGCCCTCCAGTGTTCGGGCCTATGCCTGCCTTCGAATCATCTGACATTCCTGGGAAGAGCAGACAGGAACCCAGAGTGGAAATTTGACTCGTATTGTTTGGAAAGTTAATCATCCAGGACATCTTGGTCTGTGTTAAGCTGCTGCATCACCTTCAGGCACCTTTTGTCTCTTTACTGGCCTCCTCCCTGTTGTCATAAGCATGTGACACCTGTCCCAGAGCAAACACCAGAGATAACGCCGCTAAGCCAGCCTTTTCCCTGAGGCGCCACGTTATTACAACACACACCTCTTCAAAGAAGCTGAAGCCTCCAAACCTTTGAATTATTAGTTTTGTTGGAGTATTTTAGGCTACGTTCACACTGCAGCCTGAAGTGACCCAATTCCGATTTTTTTGCCCATATGTGACCTGTATCTGATCTTTTTATGACAGTCTGAACGACACAGATCGGATTTTTTCAACTGCGACCCAGGCCACTTGGATATGTGGTCCTGAATCCGATACGTATCTGATCTTTTCAAATGCGACCTGTGTCTGTACGGCCAGGTCGCATTCATCCGACCTACACGTCATTGATACTTGACAAATGTTACTAAATGTTACTAATCTGCGTCCTACTAAGCGGAGGCGGGAAAAACTAACAACCATGGCGGAAGATAACACAGAGAGCAGTCAATAGAGAGCTCAGTGAGAGCTCTGTACGGACGTTGCTATTACTGCCCCACAAAACGCCATTGCAAGAAATCTGGCTCTCTTTCTTTTTGATCTTCTTAAAAAGATTTCGTTCGTAATGTGCCTGCTCCTGTTGGAGAAGAACTTAAAGAACGCAATATACGCTGCGGTATTACGAGTCATGTTTACTTCCGCAAACACTGAGGACGCTTGCTACATGTGACGTCATCGCGTCCTCGAGTGCGCATGCGGGACACTTCGGTTGAACGCTTTCAGTTCACACAGTAGATCACATACAAGTCGCATATACTTGGAAGTGTGAACGGACATGCAAAAAAATCCGATTTCACAAAAAAATCGGAATTGAGCATTAAGGCCTGCAGTGTGAACGTAGCCTTAGATTCAGAAATGTTTATACAGATTTTTCTCTATGATGCAAGAAAACATTTAGTTCAATGTTGAGTTTGCAGATTTGTGTTTCCAATAAATGGCTGACACAAAAGCTGAACCAGAAGTGATTTATAAATGTGCATATTAACAGGATGGTGGTGGATTCCCATCAATATGCCGTATGGACTACTTGGGCATTAATTTCATTTTATAACTTTTATTCGTGACCTATCGCTTGTTTAAATGCTGAATCGCTTTACAGAGACATGTTTTTTTATGTGTACTTACAAAGACATGAGGTAAAGATGGATGTTATTGGTATAGATCCACAGGAAGTGATAAATGTAAATTCATTTTCTGTCTAAATAACTAACATTTGATTATATTAGTCTAATATGTGCACATGGTGTTTATTTATTGTCTCTAAATGAAAATGTATGTAAATCTTACCGGATATGAAGGCTTTCTTACAAAAATATAACAGAAATATTTTTATTTAGATGTAATAAATATCAGTAGTTATCTATAGTTTATTTGCGGAACATTGCTTAATTAAAAACTTGTTGTTTTTATTTGAGGTTTTAATGGTCTAAGAACAAATATATAGGGCAGTGGATCTACTATGGCTTTAGGATTTCAATTATTCTGCCTTTACATTAATTCTCAAGGAAAATCCCAATAGGTGTGTCCTAACGTCCATTCTAACCCCTAAATCCCTCAATCACTATATATAGAGGGGTCTATATAGTGGATTTTATAGTGAACTCAGTTAACTGACCGTTCAGAGAGATGATCATTGGTATTCGCTCTACGTTGGTCATGTGATTCCGGCTCCCTGCATGGTGCATCTGCCATCTTAGATCTCTTTTGCCCCCACAATAAATCCCATGATGCTTTGCATGGAGAGCTGTCGCTAAGCATTCTGAGATAGATCTGCTCGTGTAGTTACCATGGTTGCACACTACTTTTCAGGCGCGTTGTGGGAAATTTTGAGTCCCCTACTATATAGTGCTCCATATAGGGGTAAGGGTGGACGTTCGGACACAGCCAAAATTTTCTGTAAGGAGTGCCATCCTGTGAGATCTTTTTTTTTTTTTGCCTTTAGCTAATGCTTTGATCCAAAATGACCTAAAATATGAGGACATAGCTTAATAATTTACCTCTTATGTTAAATGTATTTCATATGAGGATGTTTGATTCTTATGTCAAGTCATTCTGACTTAAACATGTATATAAATGTACTCTTTATCAGACTATATTGTCCCAAAAGTTATAACATTTCTATTTTAAAAACATTGTGTTTTAAAATCTGTTATTTTTTATTATTATATGCAGGCCAGTTGGTTATACATCAGCTTGTACACATAAATTCGGCCAATCATATATCAACGGTCATCTGTCGATCAGATTTTTTCGTTCATTGCAGCTTAATTCATATGTCGCAGCTAATATACAAAATGGTTGAAATAAGAAATCAGAATAATTTCCTTTCCCATTGAGTTCCGTCCCAGTGTTCACGGGGATGGACGTCTGTGTCTTCAGCAGGCGTAGAGCTAACAGAACTGGCAGCGTTGTGAGGCAAGGGCTCAAACATGTAAGGCTGTAAGCCTTCTACACCAAACCAAGCTTCTGCCGCCCTGGCGTCCTCTTCCACAACAACTTCATCCCCACTTTCCTCCTCTAAATAAAAAATGTATAATGGAGGAGACTCATCCACGACCTCCGACACTAAACTCTCCTCATCTTGCATGTGTCCGCTGTCCATAGCGTTCCTTGACAGTGGCGTTGCTAAATGCCACTTGGTCCCAATGTAATTTCCCATTGGGAACCTACTAGCACTAAGTTGCTAACTGGCTAGCAAGATGCTTCAGAGACACCGGCCACAACCAAACTTGTTTGCAAATTTTCTGCCACAACAATCCCGCCCTCTTCATAAACAACCAATCTCATTTACTTCATTCATCTGTGTAAAGTCGGGCCCAACTCGGGAGAATTCGGAAATGCAATGGTTGGAACAGCCGTCTCCCAAAACTTTAAAGCAACACTGCGGCTCAATTATTGGCTTAATTTGGGATGATTGTTCAGGTCACTATTTTAGCACTCAGCTTTTCTCAAAAACTCGCCCATTCAACTTCGAGGGTTGCATCTGTTGCTGAATGAGTCCTGTGACCCACAGCAACACTGCACGGCAGTCTGAGCTCCACTTTAAACATTAGAGCTAAATGAGCTAAAAAAATTGTGTTAGCCATAAAAAACAGATCTGACCCTCACCTCATTGGACATATTTCTAGTTCTCTGATGTAGGATTTTATCTAGAGCAGTGCCCCGGACCCTTTTCGCACTACAGACCGGTTTCACGTCAAACAAAATTTTCACGGACTGGTCTGTACCTGTAGTACTCTGTGGTCACTATGGTAAAATTAAATATTTCTTTCAAAATAAGCCAGAAGAACAAAGAGGAACTGGAGGGGCACTGCCAGATTTTTGCAAAATGACCTCCAGCAGGCCGTAAATGTGCATTTGTCTGCACAAATGTTTAGAAACAGACTCCGCGACGATGGTATTAGAGCCCGTAGTCTACAGAAGGGAGTTTTGGTCAGAGCCCACCATTGTGCAGGACTCTTGCCATTTGCCAGAAAACACCAGGATCTTCGCCACTGACACCCTGTGCTCTTCACAGATGGAAGC